CTCAGCACTTGCTAATCTAGAAATCATCGACGGTAAATGAAAAGAGAGCTTACAAATCAAAGGCAGGCTGATCTTGTGGTTCCACCTTTCAGATGTGGCCTGCTGCTACCCACGGGACTATTTTGCCTCTGACAGGGCAGACACCAGGGCTCCCCAGCCCCGCCACCACCCCTGTGTGGGCTGCGAGGGTGAGGGGCTGGGGCTGGGGGGGTCTGCAGGGGGATGAGGAGTAGGTGGGCTGGGATGGCGTATGGAAAGTGAGGGGTGAGTACATGACAGGAGGGCGAGACCTGAGCATGCAGACATCAGGCACAGGTTTGGGGGGGGCAGGGCAGAGGACAGTGGTTGTGGCAGCGGGGAGCGGGTGAGGATAGGGCAGCTGTGGTAGTGGGTGCAGCGCAGAGACATAACTTGGTCCCCAGAAAGGCCAAGCATATATTTCTTAGAAAGCCATCAGTATCTCCATCTCCTCCAAAGCTGCACTGAGAAGTCTCCCCTACCGATAAACCCAGCCCTTGTGCCACCAGGATTGCCCATCTGGGAGGGCTGAGGGTCCAAAGTCTCCAAAGCACAAGCCATTGCCTGGAGCTCTCACACAGAGCCAGGAGATGAATTTCAACCAGAGGAGTTTGGCAGCCGTTCCCTCCGGCTATCACCCCTCTTTGCTGCACCCAGGCCTGGCAGATGTAATCTGACACATTTTCCCATTAGCCAAGAACTATCGTTCAGGGCAAATCCACCATCCTGGACGAAGTACATGCTACAGGGGAGCCAGAGGGGCTCATGGTTGCCTCTCATATAAAATTCTCTTCTGTGAGTTTTCCTTCACCACCACACTGCAATTGGTGGCACTTTGGTACACTGGGACAATGGAATCAAGGGACAGATTGCTGCAAGTGCTGTAGTTAGGGGGGGAAATTCACTCTGAAGCCCTACCAAGCCATCATGTTGGGCTATTCTGGAGTTACACTTCACTAATTCCTTAAACTGGACCCCAAACCAACTCTTTCAAAGCCAGGAGGACCAAAGTACTCTGACTTCTAGTCACGAGCATCAGTGCTTGGTACATGAATTTATAGGAGACCTTACAGAAATTAATGTTAACCCAGACGTGTGATTTGGACCTACAGCTGCCTGTGACAAACTCCTGGTTTTATCATATGTTCCAAACCAACTTGAAAGTTCATCAATTTGAATGCTGCTTAGACCATCACCAAAGTTTGCAAAATATGTCATATAGGCATACAGGTATGACTTTCACTGTTGTTTGAACCTTGCCTGATGCATCACGAGTTGCTTTTTCTCTACTGGGCTCAGTCCCCCTCGCTCTGCTCCTCACCCTGCTGTGAAGTCACCAGTCACATGAACGCTCACACACGTGTGCTGAACGTGAGTCACACGGCATCTGCTGCTGCTTATTAAGCTGTGGTTTATATCTTCGGAGTACACGGTATTATCCTTTACGGATGTGGCTTTATCTCTGTTATTACAATATGGAATTAATTAAGAATATTAAAGTTTGTGTTTAAAAAAATGGTATTCCCAGCTTTTATCTGTGGAGGCAACATTTTCATATCCATTCTCTCCTAATGGCAGCATCCTTTGGGAAGATGTGATAGACACATTTAGGTAAATATTATTCCTCCAGCACACATGGTTTCCATTGCAAGCGATCCCCTGCTGTTTCCTTCCAAGCACTTTCCTCCGTTACATATTCCACAATGGTGGCTGAAATACTGATCAGCGATAGCAGAGACAAATTGGCTCCAGCAACTGGGAGTTTTAAGGGCGACAAATGTTTATACCTGAGTTTTGTGTGTACCATAGTTACTGAAATACAGTTTTTAGGTGTGCATTGAAATTTTCTCTGGCATTGAAAGTCTAAAGCTGCTCGAGGCAGTTATCATTTAATAAAAGGGCAGAATGAATAAAGACTGACTGGCTGAGATGGGACATAAAGATAGTGTTTTGTGAAACAGCCACACGGCCCCAAAACCTGTAGAGAAGATGCTTGCTCCCATAGCCTCCACTTCAGGTTGTGAGCAGCCTGGGTGCTCCACACAGACCTGCGGCGGCGGCAGCAGCAGCGCCGGAGCCCCCTGCGAGCTGCCTGGAGCTTAGGGGTCATGAGCTGCCTGCTGCAGGCTAGCAGAGCATTAATTCTACATGCTTTTAATGTGGCACGGCCCTTGGAAAAGGTTCCTTAGCAGATGGTAACAGCAAGAAGCTGGGAAAAAGCAGGGTGGGAACCGCTTTTTCCAGTGACTGTGTTTCCTCAAAGGCATGTCAAGCTACAGCTCTAGATGCAGCGGGGTGATAAAACATTTTCCCTCCCTGTGCCTCATGCAGCATTCTCTGGGCACCATTGGGCTGCAGGGGCATGCCACCCCAAATTAGCCCAAAGCTGGCATGCCCACCGGGTGTTACATGCCGTGGGGAGCTGCACAGAGGTATGAGGAGATTCAGTGCATACACTTCTATCAGTATATTTGCAGCATCTTCTAAGTCCCTAGCACATGGACAGAATGGGACATGAATGTATGCCTGTGCCCTAGCTACTTGCCTGTGCTAGCATGATGAATGTGCTCATGGGGATCCATGCTCTAAGAACGCACTTCCTCATTTGCAGGGGGTGTACTAAATGTCCCACAAAAGCCACTCGCTGTGGCAACAGCAGATCAAGCATTGGGGTTTTTTTGAAGCCTGACTTCCCTTTTTAGTGATTTTTTAGTTATTATTATTTGTTAAGTACCGAGTACTTAAAACTTTCAAGGCAGGATGATACAGTCTCTGCTCCCAAGCTCTAGCTGCAGGTTGGATGCTGGAACCTACATTTATACAAGCAACACTGCCGTACCCTGAGCCATCTGCCAAGGGGCTGGGCCTGCCTGCCCAGCAGGCAATCATACAATGAAAGCTTCATGGAAAAATCCCCAACGTGAAAGGAGCATCGCATGACTAAAATACACAATGTTTTTTATCAGGAAAGATTTTTAGGATGGGAAGATCTTTTTAACACAAATTGGAATCACTTCAACTTTTGCATTCTTCCTCTGTTTCTTCCTCTCTGCAATGACCCCGGGCTGGCCCTTGCCCTTGCTTTGGGAAATGTACTTCTGATTTGTATCTCAGGAGGCTGAGAGATATGGAATAAACTCTCATTACCTCTTGCTAATGTAAAGCACCACACAGCAGATGCCTGAAGCCCTGCTCAGTGGGGTCGATGTAAAACAATAGCGGACCCCTGGCAGGACCTTTCCTTCAACTTCCACAGGACCCACTGTAATGGAGAGAGCGGTCTGTGGCTGTCCATTTAAAAAGCCTTGCCTTCACAAAGCCTGCAGCAGCGTGGCCATCACTAGGAAGAGCCTTCTTGTTGTGCTAAGTAGGAGTTCTCATTAATTGGTATCACTATCAGAGTCCCCGAGCCTCAGTGCAAGCAGCAGGGGTTATAGCGCATGAGAAAGCCCCCATGCGCTGGCATTGCTGTGGGTTAATAGAGCACTAACGAGCCAAAAGATGAGATCCTGCACTAGGAAACACAGGACCAGATCACAAAAAACACAGCACAACCCCAGGCAAGAGCTCAGGCATCTTTAGTCAGGGGTACCCCAGCTGCTACAGGAGCTGGTGCAGAAATAGCCACACCGTCGTAGGCTACGAGGGGTCAACGGTGATGTCCCGAGAGCCATCACTTCCACCCAGCAGCGTGAGTCAAGAGGAAAACTCAGCACAGCATCACACAGGGGCTGCAGCCTGGCTCTCCTGCACAAGGCCAGGGACCTTCCCTTGTGGGGAGTGAGCTCAGTGGCGGTTTGGGCTTTCAAAGCATTTCATAGCTTTTTGTGCTACAGAAGAGGTACCCTACAGTCACTGCTTCCAGGCGCTCACGGGAGTGGCACATTATGTTGCTATCTCTTACAGCCTGAAATTATATTAACCCCCACCTATTTTTCAGAGGTCACATCTGCATTTTTAGTGAAGGGCTCTTGGGATCAGACTGTCTCTTCTACACCTGTGAGCCTGCAAGTGCAGCCACAGAGCGTCCTCTGAGACCTAAGTGTCCAAGGGGCTCGGGCACGTTCGTACGCTGCTGAGACAACTCACGGGTTGTCCTCAGGAATGGGCGATGACACTTGGTGAGCTGAAGGTGGGGAACACTTGCATTTGTTCATTTGGTTACAGTAAAGACATAGACAATTAAAAAGAAAACCTTTTCACAGGATGCTTACAATAAACAGTCATTCTTTATCATACAGAGTAATGCCTTATACATAAATAATTTTAATGTCTCACTCTTTCACGGAAAGTAACAGAGAAAAACCTTCAAGGTTGATACATGGGAGCTGGCATTACAAATCACATGGGGTCAAACCTAAATCCTGCAACCAAACATCCTGGCATTTGTTTTCAGAATTGACCTATACACCACCTCCCTCCCCTGCCCTGGAAGGAACTGAATCAGGACCCTCCTCGGAAGACCAACCCCATCATCAACCTCTGGTTATGGATCTCAAACCCCTGCAACCTCGGCCCCATCGCTGAAATCCACCAGTCCTTTACATGTGCAGTGGTATGAAATCCTGGTCGGCAGCTGCAGGAGGAGCCGTTGCCTTCTCCAAGGTGCGTAATCCATAGATTTTCGGAGGTGACTGAACTAACTAAGCCTACCCAAGTGGGATCCCTTGCAGCTATTTCTACTTCTCGGCTGACAAGCTGGTTAGCGAAGCAGCAAGGCTAGGTATTGCACAGTCTAGCTACATTTGACTAAAACTGGGAGCGTTTATGCGGAACAGCAGTGTGGGAACAGATAAAGAATCTAGCAGGGCTGCAATGAGAAATCTGAGCTTTCATCAAGAAGACAGCAGCATTTGACTCTATCTGAGCTGGCAAGGAGATCCCATCCCAAAGCAAAATAAAATATTTCATTCTTTTCAGCAGATGAAATTCTTCCCAGTGGTTTGTTCCTCCCAGGATCATAGTATGTGATCTCATTATCTTTAAAGTCTTTCTCCTGAGGAAGCTGATCGTTTAATATAGACTACAGTGTTAGCATCCGGTATTAAATCAGTCGGGCTACTCTGAAAGGAGGCGAGTGGGCGTCCTGGAAAGGAAATAAAAATGCAAGTTTAACAGAGGAGATAGGTTCACCTTGACCCACACTATTTATTGCAAGAGACACAGGAACACGCTGCTTGCTGAATGGAGGGTCACTCCACCCTGCCGTAGATGTGCTTTACACTCCCAGTAAACTCCAGATGATCACTGAGTGTGCACGAGGAATGCAAAATTGGGCCTCAGAGGCTTTTACATCTTGCTTTGCTTTACAGAGTTGCCCTAAGAGGGACTAGCGTGTTCCCACAGTTCTCATTAACCCAGATGGCAAAGTTAGGCACTCTGCATTTCAGTCACATGCTTTTGGCATCTTTGGCTGCAAAGATGCACTGTAAAAATGCAAGGAAGAAAAACTTCAGTAAGGGAAAGACTAACGGGGGCAGTCACAGTGCGGGATGGCAAGATCAGCATCCAAACCAGACGCCGCAGAAAGGGTCTTCCGTCCCACGGGCTGCTGCTTCCGCATCCCTTCCGCTGTTTTAAGCAGGGTTCCTTCCCGCCAGGCACCCAACACAGCACCCAAGAGCCGCCCGTGAGGACGCCAGATGTGATGCGTTAGGCACAACTCACACAATCCCCTGCTGCTCCAAAACCAGCTCGAAGAGGTTTATGTTGTTTCAGTTTAAGCGCTCTTTTGTCACCTGTTTGCCACATGCCAACTGCACACAAACCCACGGAAGAGCTGTGCTTTCAGTAGTTTGGGGATTATTTTTTTTTATGTCATGTGAGCTGATAAGATGCGATTCTTCAGCACCATCGCTGAAAACACTCATTTACCTCATTTAGTGTTTCACTTTATAATTAACAATTTAGCCCACGATTGAAGTGTCAGCTAAATGAGGTAATTTATAATAATTCTGAAAACACGCTAACAGTAAGAGGCTATAATCAGAGCTAATTACAGGGACATTTTGGAAATCCATTGGTTTGGGGCTTTAGTTTTGATAAAGGGGATAATAACTTGTACGCTATGATTCTTTTAATTATAACAATAGTAGCCACCATCTTTTACATAGCTCTTTTCATCTCTAAAAACCCCACAGCCTTCTGCAGACTATACACACCACAGGAACTGTTTAGCCTAACACCAAAGTGAGGCCACCTCTGCATGAAATAACTGTTTCACAGTACCTAGCAGTCCTGAGCAAAATTTGCAGAGGAAAGAATCTGCAAAAGGAGAAGATAATTTCCCTTGTGCATCCTAATAAATACTCAGGGGATCCTTGCATGCCCACTGCAGCAGCCATCTGATCTTGAGAATAAGAAAGGCAGCTTTTATATGTGCCCATAGACTCAAGGCACTAGGGAGGAAGGCAGCAGTGGTGTCCCCATTCGCCTCCGAGGAAGCAGGGGCACCACGTGGCAGCACCTGGTCACATCTGGCCAAGCTCACCCGTCCACGTCCTCTGCTGGGTGACAATGAAACTCTGACACTGTGACTGGGAGTTACAAATTGCGGCGGCTTCCTCGGCGCTGTGAACGGAGAGCAGGCATCCCAGGTGGCTGTAGGAGGGCCAGCACTTGTAGTCTTCTCCTTCTGCCATTCGGAAGCCCTTTAGGGAGATGTAGTCTGGGCACAGAAAGAGGGTATTTAGGGAAACTCTTTAAGTGCACTTTCAGAGACTAGTTCCAATATACACTTAGTATTTCACACTTCAGTGAAACTCTTAAAGGACGGTGATAGACTGAAGTGACCTGCTTAGATGGAGTGGGTGGAGCTGCAAAGTTAAAAGAAACCCAGATCCTGGCTGTTAGTTCTGCAGGACAGCAACCCCTCCTCCAGGGATATACGAGGGGCCAGAGCTCCCAAGGGCGAAGGCACAGGGGAGCCACCTCAGGGGTGGGTGAGAGGGGGAGGCTGCTGTGCAGGCCCACCTTCCTGGCCGGGCTCTGGAGAAGACAACCTCACAGCAGCCCCTCCTACACCCCGGCAGAACGAGCCCATCACAGATCCAGCACCGAGCTACGCGGTACAGGCACTGATCCACCCATCATGGTGCCACCCACAGGTACCGGGGATTTAGGAACCCCAGTGGGGAAAAGGGAGGCCAGATCCTGCTCCAGTGGGATACAAAAGACCTGACAAGCCTGAGCAGGCAATGTTCAGGCTACTGTTCACTGACTGCTCAGAGTCTCTCCCCACCTTCCCACACCTCTAGGATGGTGATCATTTTGGCGCATTGCTACTGGGCCAGTTGCAAAGCCAACAGGTAGGTCTTGGAAAATACTGGCAACTCCTGTTAAAGCTGCTGGTCTTCAGTGCAAATGACTGGATATCTTTGTTCGTAACTGTGCAAATTCCAGTTCTTTCACACATGAAGAGATTTCCTTATGCAAGCCACCATCATCACTCCACCATCACAAGTGAATGCTCAGGAAAATGTAAGCCACAGTAACCACTGGACTTTGGAAGCCTTCCTTTTGATTAGCTTCATCTCTACCACCAAAAGAGTCCTTTTCAGAGGAATGAACCACACAGAGGTTCATTCATCCATCCACAGGTCCAATAGGATGCTCTTCAGAAAAAAGAAATTTAGAGGGTATCAAGGCCCTCACTACTCTACTGCACTCATCTCGGTGTTGCGACCTCCCCACTGTACACTCCCATAATAACCTGGTGTTGTGGTTTAACCCAGCAGGCAGCGGAACACAACACAGCCGTCCGCTCACTCCCCTCCCCAGTGGGATGGGAGAGGGAATCAGAAAAAAAAATAAAACCTGTGCCTTGAGATAAAGAGAGTATAATAGGACAGAAAAGGAAGGGATAAAAATAGTAATAATAATAGAATAGACAAGTGATGGGCAATGCAATTGCTCACCACCCGCTGACCGATGCCCAGACCGTCCCCAGCAGCGGTCACTGCCCCCCAGCCAACTCCCCCCAGTTTCTCTACTGAGCATGATGCCATAGGGCCTGGAATAGCCCTTGGGCCAGTTGGGGTCAGCTGTCCTGGCCGTGCCCCCCTCCCAGCTCCTTGTGCACTGGGCAGAGCAGGGGAAGCTGAAAAGTCCTTGACCAGTGTGAGCACTGCTGAGCAACAGCTAAACCATCAGTGTGTTATCCACGTTCTCCTCATGCTAAATCCAAAAATGAGCACTATGCCAGCTACTAGGAAGAAAATTGACTCTATCCCAGCCAAAACCACATGGGCTCAGCAGTCAGAAGCCACCAAGTGAAATGGGAAGTTTCAATATCAGCCCAGAAAAGTGATCTACTGGTCCAGAGGATAAGATGACCCCGAAGAGGGACATGAGAGATTCAGTTTGCTCCTCTGGTTTAGTTGCTTAAGCTATCCCAAATATATTCACTTGAAACACCGATGCACATTAGGAGAAGAGTACTTAGAACCAGTGCAAACATGTCCGTGTGTAGGCCAGATTGCCTGCACTGCATTTACTTTGCAAGACATTGCAACCTTGCACAGCTCCCACGAAGAAACAACAAAAGGTTGCTCAAGAAAAGATACTTTTGGTGCTTTTTCTAGTAACTAAATACTGCTTGAATGTATGGGAGATCAGAATTTGACCAGTTACCAAGTTCCTCGCTCCTTCGGTAGTTATGTTACTTAAAGCATTTGGAATCATGTACCTTTTAAATGAAGAGGTCTTTTCTGCAGATAAAGCCCAGACTTGTACAGATGCAAAACCTTTTCAAAAGCTTTCAGGGTTTCATTTATTCCATATCGTAAGTCACCTACATTTAAAGAAAGAGATGATAAATATGAGTAATTCCATGAAACACCATTCAGAGACTTCTAATAAAGAATTTGATGAATATTAGCTGGTACCTGTGGCGTTCAGAATATCACTCAAAAAAGGCCGCAAAGCCGGTGGTGCAGAGTGTGGCAAAAGATAGGTGAAAAAATACCTGCAAAAAATCCCATGGACTAATTAGAATACAGTCACTTAATTTCCCTATTGATTAAGTTGTCCACATTTTCCCGTGACTTGATTATCCGTATGAAACTAATAAGTCTGCTTTGGTTATTAAGTTATGTTTGAGGACTTCATGGACATCTCACAGAGCGTTCCTGTGCGCTGGGCTGAAACGCTGGTCCTTGCAGCACAGCGTGCAGCCAAGCACCACGTGAAATCTACCTTGCAAAGGCTCACGCGCCAGAGCTTTCCCTTATTCCCCAGGACCATTTTTGCGCACTAAGCAATGGACTTCCCATCAAAAAAAAAAAGACCTATATAGAAGAAGACTCATGTCTTGCTCTGGAAAGGTTTGGCATTCTTACTACCCCTGGAAAGGCTGGACACTGCCCTGTTCATTCCCTGAACCTTCTAGAAAACTCCTGTTCTACAAGAACAGGACTAGATGACCTCTAGGGGTCCCTTCCAACCCCAAACATTCTATGATTCTATGATTCTATGAAGAGACAAGCTCGTTACAGCAAGGCTGTAATAATCTATGCAGAGATTTGCCCTTTAACACCGAGTCCCGCAAATACAAGCCCCCTTACTAAGTCCTTCTTTGTAAATATCCAGCTTCCCCCAGTACTTGACCTGCCAAGCACCAGCAGTGAATGGAAGTCCTCACACTTTCAAGCTGGCGGCCTATGCGAAGTGCTGCAGCAGTCTCAGCCCACCCCCCCGTTACCTGTTTCATCGCCCTTCCATAGGTGCCCATAGTCCCCATAGGGGAACACAGAGTCCCCGGAAAGAGCTAGCCAGCCTGTTCCCAGCAATGCGGGCTCAAGGCTGGTGGGCTTTGGCAGGTAGCCCACACTGCCACTGCTCTCGGCAGACATAGCCGCGGATGTCAAATGCCAGGGCTTGTTTGGCAAACAACAAATTCACAGGTGCAACCTTTGGGGCAAGTTTCTAGAGGGCGTTGGGGAAAGGGAGCAGCAGCAGAAAGATGCTTGCATTCTCACCAGACAACAACTACACTGTTTTCCTGCCTTATAAGGAAAATAAACTGGCTTCAAAGCGATCCTTAACCTCCCTTTGACAGAGGTGAGGGGGAATCACACCATGGAAGAAATGCAAGATGCTAGAGGCTATGTGGCACTGTGTGAGCTCAGCCACGCCAGATTCTTTCCCCCATCTTGCTGGACATACCGATATGCATTGAAAAGATTCTTCTTTTCATTTATTCCTTCACATTTCCCAGCCGCAGAGCATTTGAGAGGAAAGCTTTTTGTAGGGAAGTCGAGTGTGCAGTCATTATCTTCCTTGCATGACAGTTCCTCAATGCTGGCGTCATCCATGTCTGTCACTTTTAGGTTTCCATCCACCATAACAAACTGCCTCGGCTGGAAATCCAAGAGGACTATTGAACCCAGGGGGGAATGTGCCAAGTAAAACAGCAGTTTCACAAGACTCAGGCAAATCTGAGAAAGAGAAGATGAATATGCATGGGGAAAACAGATGAAAAACAGCTATTAAATTGGAAGTAGAACAAAGGGGAGGGCACTCAACGAAATTAAAGGCAAAAAAAACCCCATATAGTACTTAAAAGGTAATTATATGTATGCTACAAAATTTATTATCAACATTGCCACAGGATTTGACTGTGGTAAGTAGTTCAGCAACAAAATGTGCCTACACAAAAAGAGACATTTGCAGTTAGAGGAACTAGAGGAGAAAGCTGTGAGGAAAACAATAGCAGCCTTCATGTTTCAGGAGCTATATTGATTTGCTAGCTGAAATCAGAAGGGTTTATTCCCACTCTGGCATAGAATTAATACATTCCCCTCCCTTCCCCCATGCTGCTCCATACAGACAGAGGCTCCATGGTCATTAATACCAGATTCATGCCTTGCTGCATCACTCAGCAGTATGAATTTGGGCACACAATCGTGCTTCTGAAGAATTAGCCAAAGCATGCAATGTATTTATTGCCAGCTTTTTTTGCTTTTATGTCAACTTCCTGGCAGCGGGGAAAGGTCAGACAATATCTGACCCAGCAGAAAGCTCGGTAAATTATTTTTGAACAAACTAGAGTGCATTTATACTGCACCAGCACTTTGTTCAAGTAGCATTTTGCAGCAGTTTTCATTCAGTATGGGGAGGCCTGGCATCAGACAAACTGTATCGTCAGCGAGGTGTGCCAGGCAGACCCGCACCACCCCTCGCTGCCTCCGATAGGGATCTGTGCAGGCGCGAGGGTTTGTTCATTTGGAACAGCTCGCAGAATGCTGGTATCTGATGTGGCTCATCGGAGGGGAATCCCATCCCTTTAGACGCCCTAATTAGGAGACAGGACTAGACAGTACCAGTGTAAATCCTGAATTAGTGTCTTCATCAGTCAGAAGATTACTAAAACCTTAATGCCACCATACCAGACCTTACAGCCAGCTAATCCAGCATCATGGGTTTCTAGCTCTACAGGAGACTTTGACACATTTGAGAAGATGAGGTACCGGGAAAGCTATGTAGAAGCCAGTGTGAAATAGTTTGTAAGCAGAAGCGGAACTCCACAGGCCACGAGAAACGGCTCTGGAAGCTCTGACGCTATTTTAACTTCATTAGTGAAGCAATCCTAAGAATCCCAGCTTCACATCCCGCAGCTGAGCGAGCACAGTTGCCACACTCCCTCTCTGGCTTGGATGGCAAGGCTCCCTTTTGACGTTAAGGACCACATGCAGGCAGGGATTTTATTTTGGGACTTCTGTTGTGTTTTCACTTTGCCCAAAGCATTTCTTATTGGCATTAAGCATACCCACGCTTCTACTTGATGCTCTCTTTCCGCCTGGGAACCAAACAAGTAGTGGTGAACCCCCAGCTGAGACCTTGAGGCAAGCTGTAATACCAGCTATGACCAAAATAAGTGCCATGTCATAAGTCATTTATGCTCCTGGGGAGCTTACGAGTCCCTGTGCGGGATGCTTAGGAGAGACGAGGCAGACCCCCCTAACGGGGATGCATTTCTAGCACCTACAGCAGGAGGAAAGCGATTTAGTAGCGTTGGCACTACAGTAATGCCTAAAGGGCTCAGATCAGAAATGCCACGCAAACACGTGTGGCTCAGCTTGCTGCCTGAAATGGGTAGCCCGCAGAGAAGAGCAGGCTCGCAGGGCGGCGAGGCGCCTTTCCCCAGTCAGACCCGGCCTGCTGGGGGTCCGCGCTGGGAAAGCCCCTCCGGGAGGGGAACACCACCGGGGGGCAACGAGCCCAGCAGGGTAAGCCTGGGCGTTGCACCCCAGCCCAGCCCACAGCAAGATTTTGTGGCCGTGCCCCGATGCAGCTCTCCTAACAGCGCTTCAGAGAGGAGGGATGTAACAGCCGGACGCCCGGCGAGGGCTGTTTTGAGGCGATTTAAAAGGAGCGAAAGCAAAACGATTTCAGGACAATTTGCGGGAGCAAGCAGAGCGACAGCATGCCAAGCCCGCCTGCCCCAGCAGTCACCGCCGGCTCCCCGCATCCACCCGGTCTAAAAGCGACTGATGAAACTCCCTTTGCTTTGCTTTCTTACTTTAAATCTCTCCTCCCAGGGGGTCTGCAGGAGCTGAATCATCTCCAGGGGGGATCCCAGCTCCAGCATAGCTGTCACCCGTATTTCGGGATCTCCGCTGGTATCATAGCACTGACCGTGCAGCTGCCGGGAGAGAGGGAGCGATCGTCAGCGCGGTGCGGCTGCCCGGGCGGCCCGGGGGGAGCGAGGGGCAAGGCGGGCGGATCCACTCCCCCCACCCCC